AACAATATAATCTCGCTGGATGAATGACAACAGACAAAACCCACCGAACAGCACTGGCCGGGTTCCGCGGACTGTCCAAAATCCAAAAACCCGATGTTTCCCTGCGGCTTATCGTCGCTCTGAAAGGCAGTCCCACGTACAATTTAGGCAAACGAATGGCCCTGAAGCTCGACTTTCTTCGAGGGGGCAACGGAACTTCAATCAGTTTGGCCTCCCAATTCCCAGCCGATATCTGGTGAAAAACTGTCCGACCCGACCAAACTACGGTATTCTTCGGTGTTGTCACACAATTCACATCTATCCCACCAGACATGATGCAATGTTTTACCCAAACGGCTCGAGGAGCTGTGCGATAAAACAATGGGGGCTCGAAAAAGCCAGTACCTAGTGTAAGTCTTTGCATTCTGCCAACGAACCTTTCTCACCTTCAATGGCAGAACGTACGAACAAATCAAAGGAATACATATGGGTTCTCCAGTATTCAGTCTAGTTGCCGAACTGGACCTACAATAACTGGAAAAGATCGCCTTCAACTGCCATAGACCTGCGTTTTGGCGCCGGCACGTGAACGACGCATTCGTTATAATTGAGAGGGACAGGCTATCGGAATGTCACAACCTGCTTAACGGGATCTTCCCTGACATCCAGTTCACAAGAGAAGAAGACCTGATAAATATGTGCACTTCCTTAACATGCTCATCACGCGCAGATCCGGCGGGGAACTTAACACCACAGTGTGTAGAAGGGCAGCTAAATTAATCCAAGTCCTCAGCTATCATAGCAACCCCCCGATGGGGCACAAACCTGGCTGTGTTAGAGCACTCTTCGAATGGGTAAAAACACATTGTAGCGAGCCCGAAAGAAGAGTACAAGAACTACGGTATCCCAGGAAGCAACTGGCAAGGTATGGCTACCAGAAGAGCTTCATCAGCCGCTGCATGAGCGCGCGTCCACGACAAACAAATGGAGGAGAGACATCAGTAATTTGGCACTCACTACCGTACATAAAGAATATGTCCGAGGCACCAGAAGGCGTTGCAGAAGAGTTAGGCGTGGGCATCGTCCATCGTCCGGCATTTACCATGCGCACCAGACTCATGAAGATAGAGGGTCGGGTCGACGCGAGTGAGCAAGCGGACGCAGTTTGCGGATTTCGTGTCAGGACTGTCCTTGCCATTACACAGGCCAAACAAACGACGCCCTGATCGAGAATACTCGAACACAAACGGGCTGTTCGGAGAGGCGACACACTGTCCGAAGTCGCTACTCACGCGCTGGAGGAAGGCTATGAGTTCGGTTTTGTGAGCGTGCGCCGGCAGCAATGCGGGCAAGAACTGTTGGAGGCGTGGGTTTCAGGCATCAAGTTCTTCAACAGATACATTGATTTACCCCGTATTGTCACGTGTCCGGCCCACGCAGCCAGATAGCGGGGCCCGATTCTCCGCCAAAGACGAGAACTGTTACCAAGCTGTGAGACCATTGTGAGCCCGCTTCAAAATGACTCACCGCTCACTGCCGATCATGCGTCCGAAGCTCCAACGGTAGCAGACCTATACCGCAGCATTTCTCGCGTGAATTAGAAGTAAGGACTGTACCCAGAACGCCACAATAATCCCTGTCCACTCCCGTTTTGGAGGTGAAAGAGGCTGATGGAGGTTATGTATGCAGAATTTTTTTGCCGAAAAAGACAAGTAAGACTGGAATGGCCATTTCTGGCTTATTGGCCGTCGTCAGCCAGTCAGACCCAACCCCGAAGTGTGGAACACCTGGAGCTCGAACTCGCGACCTCTTAGTTAGAAGTCCAACGCCTCAAACCACTGGGCCGCGGGCCCGTTGTCCTATCGGTTTCGATCGGAATATACATACAATGGTAGAGGGACGCTCACCGATCCTGTACAGAAACTCAGCGGATGTTAGAGCCCCCCACGCGTGACCGTCAAGGTTATGTGGGCGTGAATAATTAAGCCTCATGCGAGGGCCAGCAAGCGTCAGTTTGGTGAGTCGATGGTGTGACTTCAAAGTTTGTAGGCACCTGTGATTGGCTATCCTCGATGCTGCATGTTTGCATATTCCGGTCGCTCGGAAGCCGTGATCGCACGATTCGTAACACAGCGCAGATGCTTATACCCGCCTGACGTGCTACGATCTCTTCATTTACGGATGTTTAGACTTTATTCTGACCGTATAAACAGAGGAAACAATGATAGTATGTCGACCGGCGTTGAGCAGCAACTGCAAGAAGTCAACAGTAATCAGTATTGGAGATTGCTTAGCTGTTTTGGAAAAAAGATTGCTGGAGAACATTCTTCTCAAGCAACACTACACTTGACAACGAAATTATGGTCCAGAGCTCCAAAAGCTAGCCAGGATACAATCTCCAATATCTAATCGCTAGGACATCTAGCCAAACGCAAACTACAAAATATCTGCAGAATGCTATTGCCGACAAAGATAAGGGTGACTGGAATGGCCGTTTCTGGCTTATTAGCCGTCATCAGCCAGTCGTACCCAACTCCGAAGTGTGTAACACCTAAGGCTCGAACTCGTGACCTGGTAGCTAGAAGTCCAACGCCTCTAACCATGATCGGTGAGCGCCCCTCTACCATTGTATATTTCCGATCAAAACCGACAGGACAACGGGCCCGTGGCCCAGTGGTTAGAGGCGTTCGACTTCTAACTAACAGGTCTCAAGTTCGAGCCTCAGGTGTTTCACACCTCGGGGTTGGGGAGGACTGGCTGACGACGGTCAATAAACCAGAAACGGCCATTCCACTCTCCCTTGTCTCTATCGGTAATAACATTCTGTCTATATCATGTGCCGCTGTGTGGCTGCTGCTTGGGCTCCAGAGAGAGAGCCCGTAATACACAACGGAACTAGTGAGTTCTGTAAGAACGATCGGCGAGCGCGTCTTTACCATTGTAAAATATCTGTTGCAACTCGTGAAATAGTTTCAAACTATTCCAATGTGCATTTTTTAGGAAGTATCTCTTATGCAAGGTCAGAAATATTATTAATAATAGGTATAATCATAAGTTTATCTATACGGGATGACGTGCTGGCGATCAGTGGGACATCTTTTAGGCGCTGGGCAAGTGGCAACGAAGAACGTTGTGCACCTAAACAATGTGCATTATTCTTTGATTTTTTACGTCAATGCAAAGACACTGCGCTTGTTACACGCATTTTATGCGAACATGCGTCTTCGTAAAAAGCCATAGTTGGAGGGAGGGTTTATTGTGGTCTCTTAAAAGCCTGCCACTTATAGCATACTTTGAAATAGTAGTATGTCTCCTCAGTAGTATGTCCCTCTTTGGTAATCGAGCATTACTAAGCCTAATACTCTATCCCTTGGGCTGCAGGTTCGGTTTATCTGTCAGTTGCGATCGGAAGTATTAGCAACATTGGAAGTGCGTCCACCTTTCTTAAGTATCTTACTTGAAAAAGAAGTATTGATCCACACAGTCGATGTGAAAGGTGCCATCATCCGCGTAGTCATTCTAGGGGATCTCTGTGAAGTTTTGCAAACATCAAAAACACAAACAATTTAAGTAATGCATTTTTTGCAGATGAGATGTTTTGAAAAATGTGCACCCCACAGGGTATGCATGGTTATGATTTAGGTAGGAAATCTAAAATGATAATGATGCGTCTATGCAAAAAACGTTTTGGTATTAATTTAGTAAAGTTTTTACTGTATGGTAGAAATTCAAAACTTCCTTTCTATCAAGAAAAATCAGGCTTAACATACTTGTAGTTTTTTTTATCCAAGTTTCATCTCTCTATGCCCCTTTTATTACTGGCAACGTCCTTCAGAGTCCCTCATTTGATTGACATGGGTGAACGGAAATTATGGCCAGACCTCCTCGAAAGTATCTTTTCAGATGAGAAACTGGAATGCCTTTGGGTATATAGACTAACTATTTGTGTAAATCTATTGAACTGACGACAAAACACTGAAAACGACTGCTTATCAAGGTTTCTATGAAACTGCTGAGCGGGAATCTTTGCGATGGGCCAAGCGTATTAGGAAGCCAGACAGACCCGGGCTAATGGGGAACCAAGAGAGCACTCGGGTAATAATTGGGAATGTGTGGTGAGTAAACTAAGCCAGCCGCCGTGAAACCCCATCATTTCATCCAAGTGATGTTATTTCCGTGGTCTGCTGGTTTCGTTGGAATGGACATTCGTCTGTCTCAGAGCAAACTGTATATGCAAAACTGCCAACAACTGTCACTCATATCTCTTACACAGCGTCACTATGTTTTAAATACCAAAATTAACACCAACAGGTAGAGAACTTTATCAGGTACGAAGCCTCCAGGTAAGGAAAAAGGCGGTGATTGGCAGGAAATGATCGGTTGTGAGGGCATTTAAGAAGGCAAACGCGCCGGTTGAACGGGTACAGCACTTTTAGTTGAATCTCTTAGAAAGCAGAACCCTACTTCTCTAAGGACTTCTAAAATTCCTTAAACACTCCAACAAGGTTAGTAAAGGTGCGATTCTGATGTATTTAGTTAAATATGAGCCGCTAAGACCTATCTTTTTCTGGTAGCTTGAACACTTAAAAAGTGTAGAACGATCTCTTGGGAGGAAACTTCAAATTTCCATTTAGAACATGACATTGTTTTTCTGTAAAATACTTCGCATTCGTTGTCCTGAGTTCTTATTTGATAATACCCACTTTTAAACTACTGCGTTTCCAAATGAAGTTGGTTTCGCATCTGCAACTCCTGCTATATCGAAATCGGGGTAGGCTCTTCTTCATGTCATCCACTCACTCAATCACAGCATGTCGCACAGCTGGTCATAAGAGTGGACACGCCATTGGTTCGTTAATATCGACCGCACGGGACTGAAGGCGCTGTGATTGGACAAGGCATCTTCAGAAACTTCTCGAAACATCCATAGAAAAATCTAGAACAATAAGTCCGTCAGATCACTATAAATTGTAACGCTACCGACTTTCCCGACACTAAATCTTCCACACTCGCCTCGAGAGATGTCTAAGGCTCCAGCTGTCGGGATCGACTTGGGCACTACCTTCTCCTGCGTTGGTGTTTTCCAGCACGGAAAGGTAGAAATAATCGCCAACGATCAAGGCAATCGAACAACACCTAGCTATGTCGCATTCACTGACACCGAACGCCTCATTGGTGATGCCGCTAGGAACCAGGTGGCTATGAACCCGTCGAATACTGTCTTTGATGCCAAGCGCCTAATTGGCCGACGCTTCGACGACCCCGCTGTCCAAAGTGATGCGAAGCACTGGCCATTTACGATTATCAATTCTGGTGGCAAACCAAAGATCGAAGTCGAGTACCGGGGAGAGAAAAAACAATTCAATGCTGAAGAAATCTCCTCAATGGTGCTGGTTAAAATGAAGGAAACTGCCGAGGCCTACCTAGGCAAGACGGTCACTGACGCTGTCGTCACTGTTCCTGCCTATTTCAACGATAGTCAACGTCAAGCCACGAAAGATGCAGGAACCATCTCGGGCCTCAATGTTCTGCGCATTATTAATGAACCGACGGCCGCTGCGATAGCTTACGGACTCGACAAGAAGGTCGGCTCTGAACGCAATGTGCTCATCTTCGATCTTGGCGGAGGTACTTTTGATGTGTCCATTCTCTCCATCGAAGACGGCATCTTTGAAGTAAAGTCTACCGCCGGGGACACCCATTTGGGAGGTGAGGACTTCGACTCTCGACTAGTTAGTCACTTCGCCCAAGAGTTCAAGCGCAAACACAAGAAAGATCTTAACACAAATAAGCGTGCTATCCGTCGTCTCCGAACTGCCTGTGAGAGGGCCAAGCGCACGCTCAGTTCCAGCGCTCAAGCTAACGTCGAAATAGACTCGCTGATGGACGGTATCGACTTTTACACCTCCATAACGCGAGCCCGCTTCGAGGAACTCTGTGCAGACCTCTTTCGCAGCACATTGGATCCTGTGGAGAAAGCCCTTCGGGATGCGAAGCTGGACAAATCCTCGGTCCACGATGTAGTGCTAGTAGGCGGCTCTACGCGTATTCCTAAGGTGCAGAAACTACTGCAAGACTTCTTCAACGGTAAAGAACTGAACAAATCTATAAATCCGGACGAGGCTGTCGCTTATGGCGCTGCGGTTCAGGCTGCCATTCTGAGCGGTGATAAGTCAGAGGCTGTTCAGGACCTGCTACTTCTGGATGTCGCCCCCTTGTCGTTAGGTTTGGAGACTGCTGGTGGTGTAATGACCGCCCTCATTAAGCGAAACACTACCATTCCGACCAAACAGACGCAGACCTTCACCACCTACTCGGACAACCAGCCAGGTGTGCTGATCCAAGTGTACGAGGGTGAACGTGCCATGACTCGAGACAACAACCTGTTGGGGAAATTCGAACTGTCAGGCATTCCCCCGGCACCTCGCGGAGTGCCTCAGATAGAGGTGACTTTCGACATTGATGCCAACGGCATCTTGAACGTGTCCGCGGTTGACAAGTCAACTGGAAAGCAGAATAAGATCACCATCACCAATGACAAAGGTCGCCTCTCGAAGGAGGACATTGAGCGTATGGTAAATGAGGCGGAGAAATTCAAGGCCGAAGATGAACAGCAACGTGATAGGGTGGCTGCAAAGAACTCGCTTGAGAGCTACGCCTACTCTATGAAGTCGAACGTCGAGGAGGAGAAGATGAAAGATAAGATTCCAGAAGCAGACCGCCAAAAGATAACAGAGAAGTGTAACGAGACTATCAGCTGGCTCGAGAAGAACCAACAGGCAGACAAGGACGAGTACGAGCACAGACAGAAGGAGCTGGAACAACTCTGCAACCCAATCATCACAAAAATGTATCAGGAGGCGGGTGGCATGCCCGGCGGCATGTCTGGTAACATGCCGGGTGGCCGGCCCGGGGGTGTGTCTGGTGACGCTGGCGCCGGAGGAAGGGGCCCCACCATTGAGGAGGTTGATTAATTTCCGGTTGCTTTCCCTTTACCACAGTAAACTGCATGGTTCATCGGTCTTTTCAACCAATGGGTGGACTTTCGTTCGATATGGGTTCAGTCCCCTAGATACTTCTGTCGATAAGGGTGGTGGTGGGAAAGAGCGGTATTTTTAAAATAGAGTGATGGGTAGAACCTTTGGATAGATCGAGAACTTGGTATGCTGTCGATACTTTCGAAAGAGGTCACACACCAAGTAGCCCTATTATACCGATAGAACGGGGAGAGTTCGTCCACTGCGAATATCAGACGAAAAATAGTTTTCAGGCAACCCGAGTCTCAGATGGACTATCTGCACTGATATGGCAGCCAAGGACATTCAGGATGGCACTGGGAATAAATCCTGGCTTAATTCGAGCTGATTATAGTTGTTGAACATGTCACTGTACGCATCATGGCGAATTAGGCGGGCAATGGTCAATGAGGTGACGGTCGAAGACGTTGACGGTAGCACACACAGGGCAACGTGAAGCATCAGGAATGATTTCTGGTTTAGGACGAGCTGGACAGAGTTGTCGGACACGCATAGCACTCATTCGGACGATAAAGGTAGAAGAATAATTTGGTGAACACAAACATATGCAATAAGAACGGACGGGGATTTTGTGCATATAATAACACTTAATGATACAAAAAGGATGAGTTAAATCGGAGAAGTGATCCGCCCGAATGAAGAGGTGAAGACGAAATGTCTGCTAGATAACCGCTGGGGCATTCAACGCTGTGGGCAGCTGCAGGGGGGAGGGGGTCGTAGAAGGCGCTGACGTGGAGTGAGCGGGACGAGCGTTACGGCGAAAGTTGCGGGAAGGGAGTCGACAGTTGTGTGGGAAAGGACGCTGGCCATTTTCACCTACACGCGGTCACACCATATCCATTCTGTGCCGGCGTCAAAAGTGTCACTACATTCAAACAATCCATTCCAGTTCTTTGGGCGTTACGATGGTATAGGAAAGGATGATTCTCATCGGGCAAATGATCCGTCCGGATGGGGGTGGCATCGACAACCGGCGGGTAATTCAGCGTTATGAGCAGTGCCGCAGAAGGTGCCGAAATAGAGAACGAGAGACGAGTGCTGCAGCGAATGTTGTTGGGCCCTTACGAGGGAAGGAGTACCTGTTGACCTTGAATAAACTGATATACTACAAGTTTGTAGTTAATTTCTGAGGGGATTAAAAACAACAATTTCTAAATTGGAGTATCTAGCAGAAAACAGACGGGGAAGGCTGGGGGACCCACTGACGAGCTGAACCCCTCGGCGAAACACGCGTTATGGGCTTTTGGTTAGTACCTGTGCTGTGAGTATGATATCACCTTACCCTAAAGAACCTGTTATCTTCATCGGCACGCGATCACACCATCTCCATCCTGAGTCCGCGACAGAAAGTTTGTAGTCTATCTAAAAGAATCAGTCCAATTCGTGGGGAGTTACATCTACACACTCGTGAAGCCGCCACATGTCGATGTGCTTCTAAGAGAAGGCGCATCTGATGGTTGCCAGGCGTCACTATTGCAATGTCCACTGTCAGCAAAATTGCGTAGTTTCATTGCAGCATCCCTACCCTGGCGTTCGTCTTCTTCTAGAACTCCCCTTTGGGCAAAAAGAACACTTTGAACGAAGCAGTAGCCACGCTAAAACAGCTTATCGTTAGTTTAAGTCAATTAGAGGTTCTTCGGAAACGCAGATGTAGAGTAGGTGGGCTAACTCATGAAATGTCAACCGAAATTCCCAAATGCGTTCTCGTTTCGAAAAGATTAATTAAATAGGGTTGTAAAACTAGTCGGCCTGCAACATAATTCTATAATATTTCAGTTACCTCAGGATGCCAGCTTTCGAATGAACCTACATTCGGAAGCATGCAAAAACCATACTGTAAAAAATGACTACTTATGTAGCATGAATTTTTCCTACTGATTTTCGATACCCATAAATGTCCAATCATAGCTCATGGAAGACGTGCATAAAAGTACTCATTCTTTTACTCATTCGGTAGAAAATTGCGTCTTCTTCCAATTTTGTACTCAAAGGATGGACATAATTCTGTTTTTAAAAAGTTTCTAATTGGGGGACTTTTAAATACCGTGAAATGTCCGTTCATAAATCGTCATGTCTCTGCATTTACCAATGTGACTTGTAAAGTTAACAATATGGATCAAATCCATTGCTAAATTTTAAAAACCCTATATGGACTCCCTTTATTTCCGTAGAGAAATGTGTGGTTTTCCGTGCGCGGAAAATATACGGCTTGTAGTTTGTAAACCCTGAATCCAGGCGAAACGGTAGTGCGGGTTCACAATTGTTCGGGAATCGGAAAAGTTTTTGAAAACCGAATTATACCCTTCCTTCGAGTATAAGATTGGAAGAAGACGTCGTTTTCTACCGAATGGGCGAAAAAATTAATATTCTCGTGCATGTTTTCCATGAAATATAATTGAACTTTTAGGGGCATAGAAAACCGATGAGAAAAATGCATGCTACATACGTAGTCATTTCTTACAAAGTGTCGTCTTTGCATGCAGCCGGAAGGAAGTTTATTCGAAACCCGGTATCCTGAGGTAACTGAAATATTATAGAACTATGCTGCAGGCTTGCTAGTTTTGCAACCCTACTTAATTAATCTTTTCGAAACTGAAACGCATTTCGGAATTTCGGTGCACATTTCATGAGTTAGTCCACCTACTGTATACGCACGAAAGTTTACGCTGTTCACAAATGAAAACACCAGGAAGAACGTTGTTGGATCAGGGTATGGAGGCCAAACTTGACATTTCCAGACTACAAGCGTTTTTAAAACGGGCAGCATACTCAGTGTTCATAACGAGTCGAGTGCGAGTGGTGAAAACAGCGGAGAGGATGATATTCTTGTGACTACTTCAAAGAATTGATCATACTTTGTCGACCACGTAATGAGCCCATAAAATAAATGAAACAGTCTATTCTTGGAAATATTGAGCTGATGGGTACCACCCGTAAGACCTGAATCTGATCGGGCTGTGGGCCCGCGAGAAGTGTCGTTCGAGCAAAACTGTTCCAGAGTGTTCTAGGAAGAAATCTGTTACTGCCTGACGGAGTGTTAAATGGCGATTAAATATTCAAAGTGGACAACGACTGGAGGGGATTACTTATCATACAATTTAAGAAAAGGGACAGAAAAGAACATCGGAGACGTTGCCTTATTACTCGAATAGTTGACGAGTTCATCAACATATGTTATTCAGTAGTCAAGGCAATCTATCCAGACAGATAGAAAAAAGGGGAAAACCAGACCTAACAGTCCGAGAAACAGGTGGTACATTCGGACGGTTTACTGGTGGTTTTCAAAAGCAGCGCAGCCAGCAGGAGGGACAAAGAAGAAGAAGAGGGGGAAGGAGCAGGAGCGGTAGGAGGAGCAGGAGATACGGTATCAGCAGGACAGGGGCGCGAAATATGAAGCGAGGGGAAGCAATGAGGAAACGCCCGTGACCTAGATAGGTGTGGCGATCAAAGAGCACTCGCTTCTCTCAAAAAAGAGTTTGCCTTCATGGCTAAGAAGCGGTAGACCTGGTTCGCGCGATTGCTAAGCGCACAAGCTTCCGACCGTCGCAGTTTGGGAAACACCCCAGATGCACGATATAAAGGAACGCAAATAAAAAAACCTGTCTGTCGTTGACGCAAACGCATAAGAGATATACGGAAGGGGAGAGAAGAGTTTTGTTGTGATACAAAAATTTCGACAGGAAATACACGGTGATGCAATTGACTCGAACAACGGTAGGGTGAAGGAACCCACTCCATTGTCGGTAGACTGTAGATCGTGACATATGGGGGCTTATCGTGGCACCCAGTTGCCGGAAGTCAAAGACAGTATAGTTTCCGTGAACTGAAATCATTACTCTAACTCCCTTAGTTCCCAAAGATATGCTTTTCGCTTATCCATTAACTAACGCGCTCATTTCAATTGTCATAAGATAGCGTACGAGAAGACTTCACGGAGAATTCTAAGAACATTTTGTGTTTTCTTGAATTTTATCAGCTTACTGGCTGGCGTGCTGCCCCATGCGTAAAGGTCCCATTACCATAATTCCCGCCTGCCACGAGAAAAAGTCTATTGAGAGTAAAGGAAGGTTCCAAATACTACTATTGACTTGACTCGAGGTAGTACGAGTCGATGTTGGTAGAACCAATAAGAACACTTGGATTTTACGACAAGACAGAACGCGCACCTACATTTCACAAAATAACCACTGCCACCTTACTGTAATTCACGAAAATTTGACGTCAGGTTGTTTTGCTAGTACAGTTCTCAAAGCCCGGAAATAAAGCAAGACTAGGTTGAGTCTGTCATTCTGCGCACTTTTAATGACAACAATGCTTCGGTCATGCCACTCGAATTCACACGCTCCACAGAACCCCTATGCCATCGCACTGTCTTTGTCGTTAACATGCGCCCACATCACACGCTTCACATTAATAATTGGTTCAAGAGAAGCAAAACACCCAAATTAACCAGTATGGCATAAAGCATCAACTCGTCTGATTGGCTCATCCAACTAGCAGACGTTTGCAAAGCCCAATTTCCGGAGGTAGTCCCCCGTCCCACATTGCAGAAACCACATGAAACGCTGTGCAGCCTTAACGCGTCACTCCCAACTGAGTCCACTTTTCGAAATATTTCTTGTGGCACTGACGCCCTCATGCAGCTGGTAGGGTACTCTGACCTAATTTACTCCACGCCACGCAGAAAATCAATAGCATCTGAGTTGAGGCTTTTCGAATCACCTGGACGTGACGTGAAGCATTAAGAGACGATCGATTAGCAAACGAAATTATGACATTCCAGGTGTTAGCCGCGAGCTACAGGCCTAAACACGCTCACATGGGCACACCAACTTCAGGCATTCATGGCCCCCTATTCGGTGTGCATTCATTCAGTGCAGACGCATCTCCAGTCACTTTGCCAGCACAACAGTGTTGTTGCCACTAGACAAAAAGGC